TCTCAGCAACTTTGTACTTAGAAGCAGTGTGCCTCCCCCATCCATCTCGTTTTCTCACTGAAGAGTTAACACTGCATTGTCTCTAAAAATCAAGTCCGCATAAGAACAGAAATAAACATCCTCCTCCTTATTCGTATCTTGGGGCTGGGTTTTGAATAATACTCTTGCTCAGGCCCTTCCTCCCAGCCAGAGCTGTTGACAGATGGTTTTGCCCAAAATAAAACATCCTCCCTCACCCCCTGCCATGAAGATGATGGAGTTGACCCCAGCCCAGAGACATTCACACAAGCCCAAACTCCAGCGCTGATAAAACGGTTTGTTTTGAGTGGGCGCCACCAAGGAAGAAAAATAGCAGAGACCTGTTTGTAGCAAGGAGTGAGGCGAGCAGAATCGGGCCTTTCTTACTGCAGAATGTGCTGACGGGAAGCCAGCAAGTTGTCACAGGACTCCTGGGACAAACAGCGCCAGGGTCTAAATCACACTGCGGTCAGTGTGCACAGCCCAGCCGTGACCTCTGGGGGCCCGGGGAGGGGAGACAATGCTGTGCAGAGGTCTTCAGATGGTGAATGGTGATAAGGTTTTCTTTCTGACGCCATGGCCCGTGCACAGCAATGCAATCTAACAAGACAAGGTCAGGGGATAACTTTATCAGAGATGACAGTAAGAAAACAGGCTGCATGCAGACAAAAAGTGTCCTTGTTCTTTCGCAACTAACTAGAGAATGGTAGTCACACCCAGCTCGGCCTCAAAATGCATCCTGAAGAAAGGTCATTAGTATCACAATTTTTAAATACCTAAGGAGCCTTTGGCAGCATAGAAGACAAATAATTCAGCAGCCAACCAAACAGGGGGTAGTTTGAAACCACCAACCGCTCTGTGAGAGAAAGATACATGGCAAGCTGCTTCCACAAAGATTGTTGTTGTGTGCCATCAAGTTAAAACTGACTCATAGTTGACCCTTCAGTGTGTCAGAGGGGTTAAATCACAAGGGAGGAGATTGCCCATCTTTCTCCCATGGAACAGATGGTGGATTTGAACCGCCTGCCTTTGGGGTATCAGTACAACTCCTCACCCAGGAAGCCACCAGAGCTCCCTCCATAATGATTACTGCTTTGGAAGCCCTCTGGCCACTTCTATTCTGTCCTACAGGATTGTTTTGAGCTGGAATCAGCTCGAATGCAGTGGGTGAATTAAGTAACTGCTCCTCTGAGGGCTGCATTGGAGTGTGAACATGTCCCTGTTTCAGACGTGGCCCTTTAAAGAGAGAAAAATGAAAGACAGAAGAGGAAGAAATGAAAGGGAGGGGAAATTGAATGATGATGTAGAAAAGCTCTTTGTGATTAGAAAATATGCCTTAAAACAATACCCTGAAGTACCTAGAAGATAGCATTTCCCTCAGCACAGCTGAATTTGGGTCCTGTGGAACCTTGAGGAGTATCAGTTATCCCCGGGCATTGTGCTGGCTGGACTCTATGGCATCTTAGTCTTTTGTCTTCCTCAGATAAGGTGCTAAATTGTCTATTTAAAGTACTGACAAAAGAACGTCTGCCTATGCACAGGTCCTAATGCAAGGGCTTCTCTTCCTTAAGGGAGTGAGTGATGGTCTGGTGATTGTGAGCAGGGCTGATCCAGAGTGATGTCTTTTCACTGCTGTTGGAAGTGATGCATTGTGAGCTCAGAGAGACAGAGAGGTGTGATTGTCCCCTGTGTTGGTGAATAAAATGGCAGAGCCACTTGATGACAATAGTGGGATATCCCCCACTTTCCTTTACATGCTCTTCAACTGTATTCCTCAGCTTCTCAGTCAGTGCACAAGGCCCACCTGAGATTACCGCTCACAAAGGCAGGAAAACCCAGGCTTCTCACTGTCAGTTATAATCATGGTTTTCACTAAGATCCTGGGGTGTTTTTACAAAGTTGACTGGAATCTAGCAAATGTTTCTCTGTTTGTATGTTTACGAATAGTGACACCACTTTGGGACTCTTCCACACACTTGTGTCTTCTTGGGAGTGGTCTCTGCAGTCAGAGTTCTAGCTTTCTGTTGCGGGAATAGCTGCCTTTGATGACCTTGTAGAGGATTCAAGTTCAACTGTAGTGTGTTACAAAGCAGCGTTGGCCTCCCCATTATTCAAAAAGCCCAAGAGCCAACTAAGGAAAGCAGGCAGGCTTTTGGGTTTGGATGGGAGGTCACCTTTGAGGGGCTTTCCTTTCTGGTATTCTATGATTCTTGTGGGAAGATAATATTCTATAGGGCGGTCAGGAGGTTCTAAGGAGAAGAGAAGGCCAAGATTTGATTTTAAGTCTAGAGGAAAAATTATTGCAACGCCACATGGATGACAACTGGAGAATGAGGACAACAGTCACGTTGCCTACAGATAAAACTTTACTTCTGACTCCCCAGTATGTATATGCTTTTGTTTCTTTTCTCTTGCCTGTTGCGATGATTAGGACATCCAGTAAAGTGTTCTAGAAATATGAGTGGATAACCTTGCCTTTTGTCCTAATGTTAGAGGCAAAATAGTCTTTTACGTCTAAGGATGGTGTTGAACTGCACGTTTTATGTAAATACTTTTTTTCATATTGTTAAAGTTCCCTTCCATTCCTAGTTTTTGGGGTTTTTTGTTTGTTTTAAATTTTATTAATTTTAATGAACATTTACAGATATTTGGGTTTCCATACATTTATTGTTGCACTATTTTCTCTATCCTCCCCCCCAGTTCGTTCCTCTTCCCCCCCCCTTGAAAGTCTGTTTTAATTGTCCCATTGCCACAGTGCTGGTCAAAGCCAGTTCTGATTAATCTCCTTTGTCAGTGTGTCCTTTGCCATTCCCTATCACTCCTCCCTGAGAGAGACTTCACCCTGATTCATAAGGAAAAGGGGACGGCATATTCTCTTAGCTACTTCCTGCTGAAAAGGGATGCTGTAGGTTTCAGGGTGAAGATCTTCTCTCACTACTCTAAAGGGCCCCACTGGCAATAGGAAACACATAGACTATTGTGGAGATTGATTTTGGAATTTAGATGCACTGTTATCAATTGTGCTTAGCCATACATGTTCATATCCTTGAAGGTGTATCATGGAACTTGCAGCCTAGAAGACACAAATTTAACTAACAAGTTAAAAGTACATGAGTCAAAAATTAAAAAGCAATACTATTCCAAGTAGAGGTTCTAATAGTGGCACAAATCAAGTTATATAGAGGGAAGGTAGTTCTTAAAATAAAAGACCTATTGACTAGCACTTTGTCTATTATAGTATAAAGGTTAGGAACCATAAGATGTAGAGGCTCAACTATGTCATTTATTATTCTTAAGTCCTGGAGCAAGTTCCATCTACCACTGGGTTGTTTTACAGCTCAGAAGTCCACATGCAAGGCAGAGGTGAAGTAAGGAACTGCTTATGAGGTTTTCGGTCAATTCCAACAACTAAGAAATAGTGAGAAGAGTTGGGACCTCAGAAGGCTTTTAGGACCAAATAGTAGGCTCTTGTGTCCAGGAGAAAACAAATATACTTTCCAGTAATGTTAATGCTCACCCACAGCTATTCTGGGAGGATCTAAATCATTGAAGCATTCCTAGTTTTTTTAAAAAAAAATATTACGAAGTGTATCAAATGCATTTTCTGTATCTTTTGAGATGACCATATGATTCTTCTTGTTGTACATAGGATCGCTATGAGTCGCAGGCGACTCGATGGCACATAACAACAACAACAACATGTTGATTGAATAATAGGAACTTTGGGCCGTATTCTAATGTTGTTATTATGTACTATCAAGTTGAAATCAACTCATAACTGATGCTGTGAATCTCACAGGAGGAGATTGCCCATCTTTCTCCCAAGGAGCTTCTTGGGATTTGAACCCCCTGTTTTGGGGCTGGCCGTCCTCATCACTAAACCATCAGAGCTCCCTATATTGCTTTGATCTTTTTGAAGCTTCTGGTAAGCCTTATGATGGCAGCCTTTGTTCTAGGGTTAATTTAGTCCCACCTGAGTGACTAGGGGACACAGTGGTAAAATACTCAGCTGCTGACTGAACAGTTAGTGGTTCAAACCCACTGGCTGCTCCACAGGAGAAAGATGATTTGGTAGAGATTTACAGCCTTGGAAACACTAGGAGACATTTGTTCACTTGCCCTAAAGTTGGAACAGACATGACCAGTGGTGGGTTTAGTTGTTTTTGGACAAGACAAGGGAGTCTTTGGGTGGTACAAACGGTTAACATGCTTAACTGCCAGCCAGAAGGTCAGTGGTTCAAGTCCACTCAGAGTCACCTCAAAAAGAAAGGTGTAGTGATCTACTTCTAAAACACCACCCACTGAAACCACTACAGAACACAGCACACACACAGGGTCACCTTGGGTTGGGGTGGATTCACATCCCTTCTAAGGGTTTGAGCCCAAATTCCCTTCTTTTTCTAGTCTCTCCCTCTGATGGGAATGAGAATGAGCCTCTGTGTGAGCACTGCTAACTGTACCGCGGCCCTGGCCACATGACTGGTTCCTAGCTGTGTGTGGTAGGACTCCGACTCCTGTAGTGAGGGGTCCTCAGGTGGAGAAGCAGAACTGGAATGCCACAGAAAGGACCCTGGACACAGAGTCAGAGGACTTTTGCTCCTTAATTTTTAGCATCACTTAAATATCTAGTTTTAACGTCTATAAAAATGAGAGTATGGATAACTGCCCAGTCAACTGCGTCAATCTGTTGGGAGAAATAAATGAAATAGTGTAGGTGGCAGCCCCCTGCTTTCTAATTAGGCCTCCTTGTGTTCTGCTGTGGCCGCCACTGCCTGTACGTGGTTCAGGTCTCTCTTAAGCCTGCTGGCCCAGTGAAATGTCTTAAAAATTGTTTCAGCAGAGCCACTCAGTAACATTATTCTTTACAGAGGCAAAGTTTTTAAGGATGTTTTGTTTTTATAGTGTTTTTTTTTTTAAATCTCAAAAGTACCACAATAAGTATTCTCTTTCTGACAAAAGAATGATATGCTATTTATTTTCAGGGCTACCAGGAGCCACAGGAAATCCAGGGGAAAAAGGAGAAAAGGGAGACCCTGGTGAGCTGGGCCTGACAGGGAACACAGGCCCCCCAGGGCAGAAGGGAGAGAAGGGAGACAAGGGGGATGTGTCCAACGACGTGCTCCTGGCAGGTAAGAGGCTCACTGTCTGGCTCCCGGTGAGACAGGGGGTGAAGACCCTTTTCTGGTCCTAGAGAGACATGAAAGCCCAGACCACTGCTGTGGGTCTGCTCTCCTTGCTTGCCTTTTCTGGCCCTCTATTTTGTAGGGTACTCTAGAGAATTATGCTTTTAAAAAAAAAAAAAAAAAGGAAAGCTGTATGTTACTCCAATAAGATGTTGTTGTTAAGTGCCATCGAGTCGCAGGTGACTCATAGCAACCCTATAAAGGAGAGTCCTCAACGCTTGGGTGCCTTTCATTCTCTCTCCAGGTTCATAGGTTTTCCGGAGGCAAGCTATTACGGAAGTGGATGCCGCTCCTCCTTCCACGCTTGTTTTAATCGGAGAGCTCCACCCCACTCTCTGTTCACATTGGGTAGCCAACCATTAACGCATTTGACACATCCGTGTCACAGTGCTCAGCCTCACAGCAACCACAAGTGACCGCGGGACAGCAACTTGTACAATATGAGCAAGACCAAATCTGGGCTCTCAGCACGATCCATTTGGATAATCCAGGTCTCAAAGTCATGTTTGGATTTAAGTCATTATGTGTAGGTTGAAACAAGCTTCCTTTTTCTAAGTATTTAACTACAACACAATCTGGAACAGGGCTAGGAAGGTTCCTCAGAGGACCACTTAGGACCTCAGAGGCAGAGGTCACAGGGATTTTTGTCACAATAAAGAGGGAGCCAGTTTCCTAAACCATGATCCTAAGATTTTGACAGAAAATTAAGGGCAAAACCTGGTTTCTGGTTTTGTTGGTGTGTTTTTTGTTAGTTGCTTTTTTTTTTTTTTCTTCTCATGGATGCAACCCACATTAAAAGCAAATATTTGGTGTCTGGGGAAAGGAGGCAGTCGGATGGTGCAGTGGTTACACTGATAGTGGCTGCTGTCTAGAAGGCTGGTAGTTCAAGAACCCACCAGCCACTCCATGGGAGACAGATGAAGCTGCTTGCTGCTGTAACGATTTACAGTCTTAGCATCACTGGGCAGCAGCTCTGTACCATCCTGCAGGGTCACCATGAGCCAGAATTGACTCAGTGGCAGTGAGTCAGTAGAAAAGAAAGAACTTTAAATGCATCTAAAGAAGATTAAAGACTACAGCCTTCAGTATGGATAACATCTCAACATCAAGAAAACAAAGGTCATCCCTGCAGGACCAACAGTCAACATCAGGATAGACCGAGAAAGGATTTGAAGGTGTCAATGCTTTTATCTTACTTGGATCAACAATTAACATACTTGGTATCAGCAGTCAGCAAGTCAAGAGACATACTGCATTGGGCAAGTCTGCTGTCAGGGACTTCTCCAAAATGCTGAAGAGCAGTGATGTCAGTTTGATGACTAAGGTGCACCTGATTCAGGCCATGGTCTTCTCAATCACCTGCTATGCATCAGAGACCTGGAAATGGATAAGGATGACAGAAGAGGAATTGGTGCCTTTGAGCTGTGGTGTTGAAGAAGAGAACCGAGCACACCGTGGACTGCCAAGAACAAACAAATTAAGTGTTTTGGACAAAGTGTAGCTAGAATGCTCCCTGGAGGCGAATATGGAGAAGCTTCATCTCTCATCCTTTGGACATGTAGCTAGGCGAGGCTGTTCTTTAGAAAGGGATATCATGCTTGGAATGATGGAGGATCAGGGAAGAAAAGGAAGACCTCCAATGAGATGGATTGACATGGTGACTTCAGCAATGGACTCTAGTGTGTCAGAGATGGTGAGGTGACACAGGATACAGCAGGGTTCAGGTCAGCTGTTCATATGGTTGCTATGAGTCATACTTGACTGCACTTAAAAACAAAAACAACTTAAATAGTACATCTGTGTAAACAGGGAGTACTGGTGGCCTTGTGGTAAGGAATTTCACTGCAAACCCAAAGATATACAATTTGAATCCACATAACAACAACACTCTGCTCTTTGGGAGAAGGATGGGCAATCACCTATGGAATTTATACTATCTGAAATCTTACTGGAGAGTTAGCTATGAATTACTTCTGACTGGACAGCACATAGCAATAACAACAAAAATATAAATACTATATGAAAGGAGCCCTGGTGGCATAGTGCATTATGTACTGGGCTGCTAAACAAAAGGTCAGCATTTCCAATCCACCAGCCGTTCTGCAGGAGAAAAATGAGATTGTCTTCTTTAATAAAGATTTACAGCCTCAGAATCCTGATGGAGGGTGGCTGTGAGCTGTTACCACCTCAAAGGTAGTGGGTTGGATTTGGCTTTATATACATCTTAAGGAGCCTTGTTGGTTAAGTGCTTGGCTGCCAGTTGAAAAGCTGGCAATATAAGCTCTGGCTGCTCTGAGGGGGAAGCATGTGGCGGTTAACTTCCTTATGGATTACAGACTTCAGAAATCCTACAGGACAGTTCTCCTCTGTCCTTCAAGGTCACTATGAGTTGGAAGTGACCCAATTAGCTGCTTTCCCCTTCCACTCGCTCCATTCCACAAATTCTACATCTTTTTTTTTTTCAGGACATAGATTGCAGTCCCCATAATGTACAGCACTCCCCCCACTTCTTTCCTGGGTTTCCCATTTCCATTTGTCTTTTCTGCCCCTTCCTGCTTTGTGAGCTTTGTTTTGGGGCAAATGTTGCCCTTTTGGTCTCCTATGATTGACAGTTCTAGAGTGTAGTTTAGTTTAGTTTAGAGAGGGTGTTAAGAGACAGTTAAAATGTACAACAATGAATGGAAATCCAAAGTTACTATAAACTTTCATTAACATTTCAATTAAAAAAAAGAGAGTTAAATCCCACAGAAATCACTTGATGGAAGAGTGGGAGACGATGATATAATGGGGAAGAGAAGGCAGAGGAACTCTAAAATTCAGATTGCTTGTTGTTTTGCCGTTGAGTCAAGTACAACCCACAGCGACCCTATGAACAACATTTCTGAACACTGTCCTCACACTGCCATCCTTACACTTCCTGACACACTGGAGCCTATTGCATCAGTCCCTGTGTCAATCCATCTAGTTGAGAGACTTTTTATCTTTCACTGACCCTCCACATTTCCAAGCTTGATGTCCCTCTCCAAGGACTAGCCTCTCCTAGCAACATGCCAGAAGTATGTGAGACAAAGCTTTATCATCTTTGTGTCCAAGGAATACTCTAACTGCACCTTCTCCAAGATAGATGTGTTTGTTCTTTTGGCTGTCCATGGGATATTCTGTGCTCTTCTCCAACACCACAGCTCAAAGGCATCAATTCTTCTGTCATCCGTATTCATTGTGCAGCTCTCTGATGCATAGCAAGTGATTGGAAAGATCATGGCCTGAATCAAATCAGGCGCACCTTAGTCCTCAGATTGACATCATTGCGCCTCAGTGATTTGGAGAAGTGTCTGATTAATAAATTTTTTCAATAAGCCTCCCCCACCTTCTCTCTCTGCCCAGCAGATACAGCTCAGGTCTGATCTCTTAATTAAGGTTTATTATTATTCTTTATTTGTTCCACTAAAGAGAGGAATGTGATATCCTGGGTGTGCAGGCTTTCCTTATCACTCAAGTACCACATAGTCTTAGATTTGTAGACTTTATTTCATGTAGACTATCCTGTTGAAATACATTTTAAATCTTAGGTAGTTTGTATAGGAATTTCTCCTGTGTGTGAAACCAACTATCCTAAAGAGTATTTACCCTCCCCTGGAAAGTGTGGTTTTAGACAGGAGCTGGCCAACTGCAGATGCTGTCAATGGCAAGCGGATGAATGGGTAATGAGAGGTGAGGTATTCGGGGTCATTAGTCTAAGCATCTGTCATTCTTGCTTCATGAAGACAGATAATCACATCTTATGCATTTTCAGAATCCCAGTTACTAGCACAACCTCTGAGTCATAGAAGGTGGCCTTTTAATCCAACAAAGCTTACTGAATAATTTATTAATCATACACTTATGTTTTTAATGGAAAAAACTATCTGTTAAGTAATGTGCTCCTTGAATTCTTGATTAAGTCTTAGTATTTAGTCTGTATGATGAGAAAATTACTTTAGATCCTGGACTCTGTGAAAAAGAATATGGCATTAAGATCAGAGGAAGACTCATCAATAACCTATCTTATCCAGATGACACTAGCTAGGTAAAAAACACTGATGTCTAACCTCACCCTCAACATTCTGATTTAATTGGGTCTGAGACCTAAGCATTAGCATTGTATTAATGCTCCTAGTTGTTGTTGTTGTTGTTGTTGTTGTTGTTGTTGTTGTTGTTGTGTACCATCGAGTCATAACCAACCTGTAGCTGACACTCCGGCAGGTTTTCAGAGGCAGTTAGTTGCATGGGAAATACTGCCCATCCTTCTTTGTGGGTTAATTCTCCTTAAGTGATTCTAATGCGCAGCCAGACTTGGCATCCACTCATGTTAGCCAAACGGATGATGTTCGGTGTGATACCCACCTGCTGTTGAGTTATAGCTCTGTTCAGGAGTGACCATGAGCAATCCCTTGACTTCTCCGGGACTTAGCTTAAGGAGGGGCTAAGAACACCACCTCACAAGTGGTTGGGGAGAAGGCTGCCAAGGAGGTCTCTAAAGATCTTAGCACAGTTCCTGGCACAGGAAGCTGTTAGTAATTAACAACTGCCAAGGGTTTTCCCTCAAGTCTGTGCAGACAAATGCTAACGAATAGCCACTTCAGGGATGAGAGAAGCTTCAGGGGCTCCTTATTATTCCTTTCCCCCAGAGAATTGTGATCCCCAATCTCCATATGACTCTTTAATAATCAATTTTTCTCTTTCTCTATGCAGGTGTCAAAGGTGACCAAGGCCCACCTGGCCCACCTGGACCCCAGGGCCCTCCAGGTCCACCAGGGCCACCTGGAAGCAGAAGATCCAAAAACCCGAAGCCATCAAACATGTTTAATGGCCAGTGCACAGGTCACTGATCCCTGCCCCAGGGAACTCTCCTCTTCCACTAGTGATCCCAAACTCTTGGGCTGCAGCCACGAGTTGTAACTCTATTTTTTAAAACAGAAGAAGGAGATTTTGTCCAATGTGAGAAGAGATCCCTTCTCAGCATGTTTGTGGGAGGCCAGGGAAGTCTACAGGCATTGAACTGGGGGCAAGTTTAGAACTGGGTTTCCCACCCACCCTTTATACCTCCCCCTTCATTAATCTCCTAACTATCCCTCTTCCTAGTCCAAATTCACCAGTCTCCAAGTCTCTAAGGCCAAGCTATTCAAACTCTTGCAACAATACACTCTTAGAAGTGTGTAAAGTCGACTCACAGTCAGGGAAATGATGGAGAAGTTCAGGTTTGTTAACTCCACATAAGGAATAAGTATAGCGCCGCCTGATGGTGGTACGGCTGGAACCAGTGGGATTCCTGCTGGAATCCTGGGGTGTGGCAAATAGTTAATCAGCTTGGTTGCTAACTGAAAGGTTGGGGGTTTGAGTTCCCCCAGAGATGCCTCTGAAGAACCAGCCCCTGAAAGGCCCAGGGGCCTGGTTCTACTCTGCACATCTGGGGGTCACGACAAGTCAGGATAAACTTGACTGCAGCTGGCAACACCAGCACCACCGTTTTCTGAGTGTCAGTGAATGAGCTCAGTTTTAAACCTTCATCTTCATAATAATCTAATGATCTGGGAATCAGTCTCTAATTTATAAAGAAAAACCTGAAACCCAGAGGAGCTGAGGAAGTTGCCCAAGGTGACTCGTCAGCAGGGGGCAGCACTAGGTTTCAAACCCAAGGGGCCTGACTTGAAAGTCTTTGCTCTTAGAGCGTTTTCCTCTCCAAGATGGTCATTTATGCTCTGAGACCTAAGTTCTCCAAGGACAAGGACTTGTTTTGTGGCCAGTTTGTGACAGGGCAGTGGCAGAAGTGAAAGCTAATTAGAAATCAAGGGGCTATATTCACAGAAATGGAGTCCTTGGGTGGTGCAGATGCTTAAGTGCTGGACCATCAAAGGAAAGATTAGCGGTTCAGACCCACTCAGAGGCATCTGGAAGGCAGGTCTGGTCAGCTTCCTTAAGGTCACAGGCCTTCAAAAACCCTATGGGGGACTTCTACTCAGTGTACTTGGGGTTGACTTGGGGTTAGAATCACTTCAATGGCAAGAAATAACAAAACGTTAGTGGAAGTAATACTTCTTGGGGTGACACTAGAACATCTGTGTAACCTAGACTATGAGGCATGGCTTGAAGTCTAATAGAGAAGAGAATCCCAGCTGGATTTCCCTGCCAGCGTCCTCAACAGTCTTTGGTTCTGTTTGGATCACTGTTCTTTCTGGAAGGCACTTGGGTCATGCATTTGATTGTCAGAGTGGGATTAAAAAAAAATCAGATGCTTTCAAAAATGTCACTCACCCCACTCCCCATTTGCCAGTAAATGGAGCCTGATTATAATTCTGCCTCACAGTCAAGACAATGTTAAATCACATAGGGTTCTTCCCCTGATGCAGCACCACCCCCTCCATTAACATCAGCTCCCTTTGTTCAGCTTTCTCCAGAGAAAGCGGAGCAGGGACCCTCTGAGAGAGCCGGGGTCTGACCTGAGCTTCTGCAGTTCTCATTTGCCAAATATCGCCAGCCAGTGACAATCAGCTTAGCGTCTCCACTAAAAAGCTGGGTCAGCTAGGGCTAGGGCCCCGAGTTGTGAAAACAGCTTTAAATGAGAGACCATTATCTTCTCTTCCACTCTGCCTGATAGAAATGGGTCCTCAGTTGCCAAGCTTTCTGTGTCTGAACTTGGCCCTCTCTCCTGCTTCAATTCCTTTAACCACCCTCCTCTTCTAGCCCCACAGCTATAGAGGCAGGTAGTACAGTGGGAACAATGAGAGCCTTTCTTCAGAATAAGAACTGGAGAGTTTCTTTGTTCCTCTCTTATGCAAAGCTCAAGATCCAAAGCGTGGAGTCTGAGGAGCTAAAACCCAGAGGCAGCAGAACTGTGTAAGGGGAGCAGTGACAGATGCCAGGCCATCTCATCAGGTCTTCAGACAAACGCAGGTTCATCCAGTTAGAAAGAAACTGAGGTCAGGTAGGGTTCAGAAATCCCTTCGGACTCTTCTGTGAGTTTCTGCTGTGGAAATGTGAATTCTCTTTTTTTCTCTAGCAATTGCAAGGTGATTTGAACCACTCAGAACTTGTCTAAGTGAGTGGAGCCCAGGTTTAGAAAGCCCGAGGCTCCGCAGCCTGCCCCAGTGCTGTCTACTCCTAAATCTTTTCACTGCTCATGGTCCGCCCCTCCTCCCGATACCTCCAGGCACCTCTTCACTAACCGTCTAAATGAAGCTCATTCATTCAGTGGACTGACAAGCCAAGGATGATGAATTCTAGCACAGGAAGAAAGGGGGTACAGCATCACACAAACCAGGAATCAGGCAGCCCCTCAGGACCTGTACCCCCCCTCAAGCGGTCAAGCCCACACAGGTGGGCAAACAAAGAGGAAGGAGATTCAAGCACCCTCATCCTCATCTCCATCTGCATCTAGGTTTCCTCTCTCAGGACCTTCTCACAAAGCCCTCACAGTCACGGCCACCCCATTTCTGAGACTGCTCCCTCATGTCTCCCCATCAGTCTCTCTAAAAGTGACCATTCTTCTAGAACAACATCACTTGCGAGAGAGATCCACCTGCCCAGAGAGGCCAGGAAGGTGCCCGCAGACCTCTCCCCAGGTTGCTGAGGGAACAAATGAGTTGGCTCATGCCATCCCCCCCTTTTTGTTGACATCCTCTTGGGAGTGTATTATTCCTGAAACTGAGGTTACACAAAGCTTCTTGGGAACACATCAAGCAGGGAGAAATTGGAAACATATGACTTGGTATTGCATGAAAGTGAGCAACCAGGAAATTAGATGGCCCTAGTGAGAGGGATGCCGAGGAGCTGAAGCCTGGGATGAAATGGGGGGGGACCCCAGTTATACAGCCATACGTATTTCTCTGTGCCAACTGTCTTTGTTGTGGTGGTTACTGTTGTTTTAGGTGAGACATGTGCCGTGCCAAATGATGACACCTTGGCTGGCAAAGCTGATGACAAAGTCAGTGACCACCATTCGCCACAAGCAGGTACAGAAGCAAAGCACCCTGTTCTGAAAGTCAGTAACCAGATCCCTTAAAGTCATGACTGACAGGTGAGAGACCCTCCTTTGTTCTCTTTTGGTAGAATCTGTGATCGCTTCCATTGGAAATTCGTCGCAAGTATTTAAAGTGAAGGAGACATTTGGGACCTGGATAAGAGAGTCTGCGAACAAGAGCGATGAGCGCATTTGGGTGATTAAACACTTTTCAGGTACTGCGACTCAGAACGTGGCCTGGTTGGGGTCGTCTTTTTCATGTCATCTACCTTCGAGCTTATGCTATTCTTTGGGTCTGTTGTTGTTGATTGCCGTCGAGTTGAACACTACTCAAAATGATTCTATGAACACTAATAATGCCTTTCTGTAACTATCGTCATATCTCCAGGTTCATAAGAGTTTCCAGAGGCATGTGGTTTAGGAGGTGGATGTCACTCCTGTTTCCAAACCTGTCATAAACTGGGAGCTCCACCAAACACTGTCCACTATGGGCAGCTGTTATGGCATTTGACCCCTAATGATGCAAGGCTCAGCCTCACAGAAAACCCAGATTACCTCAGTACAGCAAATTGACAGAAGAGTGCTGTACAACTTAGAAGAATGTTCCTCCAAAATGAAATAACACTAGGCCCTTGAGCCCAAAAATCATTCTTTGGGTCTAAGATGTCTAAATTAGTTTAATAGGATTGTCATTTATTTTAGAAAGCACCCATAAGTGGACATCACCCTTCTCTTGGCTGAATACTCCGGTGGGAAGTGTCTCCGTTCAGATCATAGGGACATGACGAAGGCGCTGGGATACCCCATCACCACTACCCAGTGGAGCTTCTCCAGTGTTAGGCAGCATATCCAGGAGGCAACAAATAGCATCAGGACTGCAGGTCTCACAGAGCCCATAGCCAACTGTGGAAGAAATGTCAGAGACAAGGTCTCTGGGCACCATCTCAGACTGGCTGACTCTCAGGAGACTACATTTGGTCATTCTTCTAAGGGTTGGACAGAGACCCCAGAGAAGAAGGATGATGCTCCATTTTGCACTCACACTGCATCTAAGCGTGACTCTAGTCAGGCTGCGTCAAAGGGATGTGGTCAAGACTCCCCAACGTAGCTGCAATGACTCATCCCAGAAAAGGCCTGGCAGTGCTGCCTGGGCAGAGAAGAGGTTCACAGACAGTCGATGAGATGTGCTTCTTCATTTCACCAAAATGAATTCTGATTCACTGGTAATAACTGCCAGATTTCTGACCCAAGAAGGACTTGGAGGCTCAAAGGGAAAGAGTAATCCTCTGAAAGAACAGTGGCTGCCTGGGAGTGTAGGAGGAGCCAGGCAGTGATTGCACAAATGCCAACTATCTGCTGTCCCCGGGTCAGCCTGTATGTTTCTAATAGAAAACAAAGACGAATGAAATGGGGGGAGTATGATGCATAGTTCTCTTGAGAGGAGCAAAGCCAGTGTTATTGAACAACATCTCAGAGATCCATAGATGACCACTGGACTTTGAGTTTGGAGTCCAACTCTTCATGCAGATAAGGACCCTCAGAGGACATCTCACTCTCCCTGCCTCCCCCTCTCTCCTCCCCATGAACAATCCCAGGAGGCAGGGATTTCCCTGACCTTCCTCTTACAGGCATCTTGGTGAAGCCTTTCCCTGGCTTTCCTCTTACAGGCATCTTGGTGAAGGAGTTCAAAGACTGGCCCTCGCTTCTGAACAACAGTTACAAGTCCATCCAACTCCCGCATTACTTCCAGGGTTGTGGGCATGCGGTTTACAACAACTCTCTCTACTACCACAAAGCAGGCTATAACACCATTGTGAGGTAAGTCCATCCGCACCCCAACAAACTTCTGCAGTCCACATAGGGGCAGGGGAGGGCTGTGTTTCCAGCATTGCTGTGTCCGCCCCCCCAGCCTGGCACAAAGCTAGAGGTTGATCAGGATTCGTTGACCAAACGAGTCGTAAGACTAAGTGAGAGAAGCCTCCCTAGTGCAGTCCTGTTGGAGGGTCTGTGTGGACTGTTGGATGTAGAGCCCAGGAGTAAGGCCAGAGCCAGGGAAGAGTTGACTTGAAATAGTAAGAAGCTGTCCTTTCTCATCTATTAAAAAAGGAAGCTTCCCAAACCCTATAAGTCCTGTGACAGGACAGAGATCATTTTCATTATGGAAAAACCTTAGGTGGAAAGAATTTCATGCCCAATGGGGGACCAGTGGAGACAAGGGCTACAACCCAAACTCAGACATCCCTGCCTTCAGCTGAGTCAATTGTTATCCTGATAGAGCCCCCACTGGCCACCAGTCCTCCTTCCTCTGCCTCCCTACGGGCAATGGCCAGGTCACCTGGCTGGACTGTGCTCAGGGCTGCAGTTGAGCCTGCCTGGTTCTACAGAGGAATTGTTAGAAGTTTGTTGTTATGGCTCAAGAAATCAATTTGTGGGCAATAAGACAAAAGCAGTTCGTCTTAGATAGATCAGGTTAATGCTTGCATATGTGGGGGGATGTCAAGGCAGGTGGGAAAATTGGGAGGGACAGTCAAAAAGAGAACAGTGAACAAGAGTCAGGAAAACTGACCTCTGGTCCAACTCTTTCATCTCTCACTCTATGCTCTTGGACAAGGGTCATCTCCTGAGGCTTCCATATCCTCAACTAAATAATAAAGAGATAAGCTACAGACTCCGGTGGCCTAATGGGTAAAAAATTGCACTGCCAACCAAAAGTGTGTGGTTCCACATCACCAGCTGCCCCACAGGAGAAAGAGGGGCAGTCTCCTTCCGTGCAATTTACAGCCTCTTAAAACCCACTAGAAAGTCAGCTCTGAGTTGCTTCCAACTCACTAACACATAGCAACAGCAGTAGAGCCCCTGAGTCCCTCTAGCTCTACACCTCTCCAAAATCATAACTCATGAAAGTCATGGTCCTGGTCATTCAAAACAAGAGACAATGACCTTGAGGGAGGATTAAGTTCTTTCTTCCTCAACTTCTCTCTGCCTTTAGTGAGGGCCAACCTTGGTGTGTATCTCTGGAATTTGACTACTTACATTCAGATAGGAAAGTGTATCCTAGTATAATGTACATACAATCAGATCAGCCACATTAGACAGTCGCAGGTGTCAGCTGTGGCTGGAATCCTCCCTGAATTTGCCTCTCATGTCTCCCCAACTCCCCTTTCTTATCCACATCTTCCCAGCCGCTTCATTTCCTGGCAAAATGACAGATGATCCACCACCTCCTGGATTAGTCCAGAAGTCACCATTCCCATGGCAGGCTCCTTCCTGTGATTTTTTTTTTTTCTCATTTAATCCTGTGATGTCTCATTGTTATAAAGTCATTGTTGCATGGCGGTGGAGGTAGCCCTTTAAAAAGTTGGAGCAGATGACTTCAGGAAGAGGACAGGCTGTTCTAAGAAAGGGTGTCTTCTAGTGAAGCCCAGTTGGCGTGACACACTGGATAGGAAGCTCGAACTGACCACCTGCTCCTGGGAGCCGAGGGAAAGGCAGACCTGGATTGGACCCTATCCCTGCAGCTGGGAAGGACACACCTTCTCACGGAGAACAGTCGGGCGCTAGAACCAAACAAGGGCCAAATGTTGTTAGTTGTTAGGTGCTGCCTCACCCAGATGGTGCCTGGACCTGTGCCAGCCTCGTGGTCTCTGCTTGGCTCCCTAAGTCACTGTGGCAACCCAGCTTAAGTGTCTTCCTCTCCTTCACAGATCCTCGACTCCAAGCATGCTGTCTTTTTCCAAGTATTTCCCGATCACATGCCTAAAGCATATGAGGCAAAGTCTCACCATCCTTACTCCCAAGGAGCACTCTGACTGCATTTCTTCCAGGACAGATTTGTTCTTTGGGTAGTGCATGGGATATATTCTTCACCAATACCACTACTTAAAGGCATCGAGTCTTCTTCCAACCTTCCTTATTCATTCTCCAGCTTTAACATGGTATTTTCATGAAACAATTGAAATTATTATGCTTATGCCAGACACCTCTTAGTTTTTAAAGTCGCATCCTCGATCTCTACCATTTTCATGAGGTCCCTGGAGGTGGATTTGCCCAATGCAGCAAGCTTGTTGCTGATGTCTCTTCTGCTGTTTCCATGTGTGTTGATTGTGGAACAAGTAGCAGTACTAAATTCACTGATTTCCTGTGAGCTGATTTAGGCAGTTAGGGCCATCCTAAGTCCTCAATCTTCTGTCGTATTTCTTTTCAAACTGCAAGGTTTCTCAAATGGCTTCTTCAGGTTTGCTGCACTCATATGTAGAACAACCGATTTACATTGTTGACATTTCCTTTGCTGCTCAATGGCACCCTCTAGTGTGTGGCTTCGGTATGATTTCTTGGGATCTTGAATTTTTCTTCCCCTCCACACTGAGTACCTCCTGAATCCTAATTTGTAATTTACCAAATCAGACAACCTCAAGGACTGAAGAAGCACATTTCAAGCCATAGATCAATTTATACAGTCACTGATCTGAGACGAAAACAAAGTTCACAACCATGGCTTTGCTGCCTCGGCTCTACCTCTTCTCAGCTGGTATCGTCTTTCTCAATTTTTAGAATGCTGTGAATTTTTTGGCCTTTACATTTTATAAAGTGATCTTACGAGAATCCAGGGGGAAATATGCAAACTTGGAATTGGAAGACTTAAGTTCAAACACTTGTTCCGCTACTTATGTGTACCTGCAAGCCAGTCACTTTCCCTTTTCATTTGCAAAATCAAAGGTTTGAATTAGATGAATAATATTAAGACGACTTGCAATTCTAAAAAGGGGAATAAGGAGTTACAGAATTTCTAAATGGAGAGAAAGTCAAGGAGATTTCAAGATAAATGAGTGCTGGAAGAGTTTACCCCCCTTTCCTCCCAAAAGGGATGACATTATAAATGGACATTGCCCACTGGTGCTCTTGACGTAAGAAGAGTCCTAGACCTTGTCAAGGGCAGCATAGGATAGAGGAGAGAAAGAGATAACAGAGCGCTTGCTCTGTCCCAAGGCCTATGCTCTATTGTACTCTTGAGCTTACTATTGTTGCTATGTCCCTTGAGTTGCAACCCTCTCACAGCTGAGCCTCCAGCACTGTTTTCAGAGGGACTCCTGCTGACCAAGGGGTAAGAAGTTACACAGCAATCCCAAAGGCATATGGTTCAAATCCACTGGGAGAAAGATGAGAAATCTCCCATTCGACTCTGAAAACCCACTGGAGGGCTGGCTATTGGTCAGTGCAGACTGGATGACACACAACAACAAAATCAAATTGCATGAGAGGAGATTGCCTCCCTTTATCCCACAGAGCGTCTAGTGGATTTGAACCACATGCCTTTGGGTTGGCAGCACAACTCCTTACCAATAGACTACAAGACCTTCTTACTATAAACTTTATACTATACTATACTATACTATACTATACTATACTATACTATACACTCTATACTCTATATACTAGACTTACTATACTATAGCAAGAAGAATTAATTTAGCAGAGAATCCAAAAAAAGTTAATAAAGCAAGGTTTCTGATGAAGTAAGTGAAAACATTTATCTGGGTCAAAAACCAGGGGTATTAATAAAATTTAATAATTAACCCCCCCCCCAAAAAAAAGGCACCAGTAATTGATGGTCTGTTCTACAGTTAGCACCTGGCCTGATTTTTAATGCTGATGTTCAATGTCACCAACATCCATCAGGTGAGGTCCAGGTACAAAATTCCCTTTTATATTTTTTAAAATAGGTATTTTTGATAAATAAATCATTGGATTTATAAAATTTAAAAAAAAAACCATAAAACAAAAACAACCAGGGGTGTTGTTTCAAAAGGAAAAACCTACAGCTGTCAGGTTATACAACTCTCCCACTGTTTCTGAAGCTGCAAATCTTTATGGGAAAAGAATGTCCATCTTCTGGCTAGTGGGTTGGAACCCCTAACCTTTCTATTAGCCAACATTTTTTTTCTATAATTATATTTTATTAATTTTCATAAACATTTACAGAGATTTTGGGCTTCCACTCATTCATTGTTGCACTATTCTCTC